GGTGCTGGGGAAAGGGACACCCCTTCTGCAAAGCTGCCGCACTCCCGGGCTTGTGCCTCAGTTTCCCCATCTGAAAATAGTGGGGGGAACTTGTGCTGTCCCTGTCATCGCTGTCCCCCTTCCCAAATAAGCACCTTACCCCATCACTGAACCCCATCCTTTCAGCACTGTCACCCCAGCTTCTCCCTTGATGTCCCCCCCATTTCCCCGCTTTCCTGTCCCCTCTGGCTCCAAATCTGTTTCCCCACCACAGACAGCTGAAATTCCACCTCTCCTGCTCCCAGCAGCCCCCTTTGCCTTCTGTCACCACCAGCTCTGGGACCATCCCACCAAGGCTCAGGGGACAGGACCCCCGTGTCAGCGCGTGACTCTCCACTTCCCCCCTCCCTGATGCGGAAGCGGGGGGATGGCACTGCCGTATCCTCCACCATCCTTGCTTGCCACTTCTGGGTTTAATTGCAAACCTCATCTTTGGATTTCTACCTAAACCTGGCTCCTGGGACCACACAAATCCCTGCTTGGTGTCCGAGCAGCCTTGTTTACCACGGCTAGCTGAGGCAGCAGGATGAGACAGAGCTGCAGAGCTGGGCAGCCAGTGGAACCCCCATGTGAGGCTGAGCCCCCTCTCCCTTCCCCAGGCCTGAGCACATGCAGGGGGTTGGAAATCCTGCTGCTGCTGCCCCTCCCGGGATCCCCATCCACATTTCCCATCTGCATTCCCGGCACATTCGCTGTCCCTGAGCTGGGCTGCAGGCTCCCCTAGAGAGACACTTGCGTTATCTGCAAATGCCAAGCAAGCTTCCAGAAATTTTTGCACAAGGCTCCTAAAATCCCTAGAAGATTAATGGGTGCCCTGAGCAGGGCAGTTTTGGGAGCACAGAGGGAAGGTCTCTGCAGAGCCCACATGAGCTGTGAAGCCAATCGCTGCCGGGGCTTGGAGCAAATGTGTCTTCCCTGGCTACTGCAACCTGGCAGCACCTGGCCCCCGGCAGCCTCCCGTCTGTGCACAGGACACGAGGCTCCTGGTACTGCTCCTACATCTCTGAACCTCCTTTCTGGTTTGAGGGAGCCCACAAGCCCTGACCCTGCAGGTCCCCGGGCCTCAGATCCCCCATCGATGCAGATAACTCTGATGGAAACAAGGAGGCTGCCATAGGCGCATTCCACCCAGGATTCGTTGGGAAAGTGGCTCCCAGAAGTTTCCCATTTCCTACGTGCTCCCTCCAGGGTCCTGTTGCCCTTGCAGCCGTCTCATGCCCTTCTCAAACATCAGGTGCTGCTCTGGCTGAAATCCCATGGAGAATCACCCACCATTCTGGATTTGGCTCTTTGTCCAAGGGCTCCAGCCCTGCTCATGTTACAGCCAAGGGGGTTTTGCCAGGGAATGCAGGAGGGACCCTTGAGCCTGCTCCCATGGAGACAGTACCCTGCAAGGGCCCAGGCTCACCACCTGCCTGCCATTGGGCTTGCTTTGATGATGAAGGGGCAGGATGGGTGCTGAGGCTGCTCAGCCCTGACCCTAGGCGCTGCTGGTGTGGAGCTGCCAGTGTGAATCAGCAGCACCCACTTAACCATTTCCTCATAGGGTCCCCATGGGCTCTGGAGGGGGCCACACTTCAGCCACACCACAGCCAAGCCCCTCCACACTCCCAGACTCCCTGAGCTCTGACCCTCAGCAGCCCCAGGAGCATTTCCCTGCCGCAGCCCCATGGGACACACGGACTAGCCCTGGGGTGGGAGCCCCACAGCTGCCCAGCTGGGTCAGGGTTGAGCAGCAAACCAGGCACAGCTCCTGCAGTTGCAAAGCCTCTTGTGATGCACGTCGGTGTCACGGGTTTTCCCTGCCACTGTGCCTTGGCCACTTCACCCCCCAAATGTGGCCGCCTCAGCCCCAGTGTGTGGCCACAGTGGGAGCAGCACATGGGCACTGGTACCCTCGGTGGATGCAGCACGGCAGCCCCAGAACATGGTGGGAGATGCTGCTGCCAGGCTCCTCTGGACCTCCTTGGTTGAATCCATTTGTCTCGGCCATGAGTGATTGTCATGTGGCCACAGTGGTGCACCATGGTGGCATTGGCGCTGCACCCTGAAATGGACCCTCAAGCAGCCCTGTGCTAAGGGAGAGCAAATGACCTTTCCTGTGGCCAAAAGCCCGAGGCCCAGCCCACTTGCTTGGATCCCCACAGACCAGTGCAGCTCCCAGTGTGGCTTCCACCCGCCCTGGATGCTCTCAGCAATGGTCACTCACCCACTGCCCTCCCAGCACCGGGGCTCACACCTGGTGTGAACCTCCTGCTTGGGGACAGGATGGAGACAGGTATGGGGACATAATCTCGCTCTGTGCTCTGCTCCTCTCCTTGTAGTGCATCTGCCACCATCCTGCCTTAGCCAGGGGCTCTTTGCAGCAGAGGAAACTGCACCAGAGGCTCTGCAGCCAGTCCTGCCCCTGCTCCCCACCAGGCTCAGCCAATGTGCCCAGAGGCAGGAGTGTGACAGCCCCATCCCCTGCTTCTTGGCTGCAGGAGAGATGCTGGGTCTGGGACAACAAACACACCTGGGGAGAGCAACCTGGGGACAGGGGACAGCAGGACTGGACTGTCCCACCTCGCTGGGGATAGGGATCTGCCAGCCAGGGCTGTGCCCTGCCCATGGTGTCAGCTGCACCAGCCTCTGCATTGCAGCAGCTTCCTGCCTGCACAGGGCCACGGCCACGGCCCGGCCCCCACAGAGGGCAGAGACCCCCCCTGCAGCAGCAGGGGAGCAGAAGCTGCCTGGAGTGTGAGGAGAGTTGTGTCAGTGCTCAGTGCTGAGCAGGCTGACAGGAGAGATGCGCAGGGGGGCCGCTTCTGAAGGAGCAGCTCAAGGGCACATGGAGCAGGAGCTGGGACAAACTCCACCGTCACTTGATGCCAAACGCTCTGTGGCTTCTCCCTGGCAGCTCTGTGGATGCAAGGGGCCAAAGCAGAGCCCCCAGGCCGAGGGTACCCAAGCGGCAGCGCTTGGCTGGGGCTGGCAGCTCTCCACGTCACGGCTCAGCCGCCAGCTCTGCAGGCGCTGGGCATCACTGCCAGCTGCCCTGATGTGAGGTGATGGGCTGTGCTGGGCCAGGGGCTGGCAGGGGCTGGCAGGGGGCTGGCACATGTGGCACAGGCAGCCGAGGCAGCCTGGCACAGTGGGGGCACACGCATGTGTGCGGGCATGCCAGGATGGTCGTGCGTGGGGGCGCGTGGCAGGAGAGTGGGAACGAGGCGGCAGCGTTAGCTGGGAAGTGATGCAGAGCCAAAAATAACCCCCAGGCTGCAGCTCAGACCAGGTAGTAGCTTGGAGAGGGAGCTGCGGCAGCCACGTCCACAGTGCCCCGTGGCACGAGTGGCTCGCTGGGGGCAGCTGGGGCTGGCACTGTGCCCGTGGGTCCTGGGGCATGCCCAGCCATGGGGGTGCTCCCTCCCTGCAGTGCCTGTCCCAGGCCCAGGGTGTCACCCTGAGGGTGCCCTTGCCATGCCAGTACATCCTCTGCAGCAAAACCCAGGGGTGCAACACCCAGGCACTGCGCTGTGCCTGCGGCTTTCGGGGGAGGACAACACAAGCAGCACCTGCAGGGTCCCTTGGGGTTGTGCCACCAGGTGCTCTGTCAGCACTGCAGGTGCATTGGGGCAGCCTGCGGATGCTGGGGTGGGGAGGGCAGTGGCAGTGCTGTGGTGCCAGGCAGTGGCAGTGCCATGAATGCCAGGCAGGAGTGATGTTGGTGCCATGGATGACCAGCAGTGGTGGTGATGCTGCCATGGGTGACAGGCAGTGGCAGTGGTAGTGCAGTGAGTACCAGGCATGGCTGTGCCATGGGTGCCAGGAGGAGTTGTGGTGGTGCCGTGAGTGCCAGGAGGAGTGGTGGTGATGCCATGGGTGCCAGGCAGGCGCTGGCGCTGTGTGCTGCCAGCTGCAGGGGGACGCTGCTGTCCCCCATCCATCTGCGTCTCGGCGGCTGAGCGAGGGACAGTCACGCGTTTATTTTTAACCATCTGGGGAGGGTGGAGGGGATTGGTGCCGCTCTGGTTATATCACTAAATCCCTGCCAGGCCCTGTTAGTTCCAGCACAGCGAGCCCTGCGCCGCGCTCCAGTAACTGTTTCAGGTCCTCGTCCTCCTGGGGCCATGCCCTGCCCCAGCCCTGGGACACCTCAGGGCCAGCTGTGTGCACAGCTGGAGAGTGTGGGCACTCACTAGAGTTCCCCACAGGACCCTCTGTCCCCAGCCCTGCCCTCCCACCCCACCACGGGGCAGAGCACAGGCAGCCAGGCCTCCCCTCTGCCCATTCCACCTCCCCAAGGAAGGGATGGTGTGTGCGGTTCACGGCCACATCCCTCTCCCACACCACTTTTGGCGACAGGGCAGGAAGAAATTTGAACTGCTCGTGGCCACCTTGTCCCCATCCCAGTGGCAGATGCCAGGCAGGATAGGCCCAGTGCTTTCCTGTGGAAACACTGTCCAAATCCAGCTCAGAATGGGGATGATGAGAACACCTAGGAAACGGCCACCATGGTCCCTCTCCATCCCCATGCAATGCCACCAGCCCCCTCCCAGCTCTTGGCGAAGCGGCAAAGGGTTAAGCCACACAGCAGGGCCACGTGGTGCTCTGGGGATGCCGTTTTTCTGGAGATCAGGATGGATTAGGGTGGAATATCAGGGTGAGAATTCCTTGGGCAGCGCATCCTCTGACCCTGCCATGGCCCCTTGCCCAGAGGCTCCCAGTGCTGAGCCAGGCCCTGTCCAGTGAGCGCCCACTGTGCTGCTCCCTGTGATTCCCTCCCAGCACCACTGGCTCCAGGGGTATTTGGATGGCACCAAGAGGGTGGTGGGCACTGGAGGAGTCTGTGGGTCCAGAGCTGGAGCGGGAACCGTCCCCATGCCTGTCCCCTGTACCCAGATGTTTGTCCCACAGAGCTGTTGGCAGGAGGAATGGGGGTCCTCTGCACCCCCCATGACTCCCCTCTCCTGTCCCCTCAGTGCATGAGGCTTGTGTTTGCCCGAGAGACCCCCAGTGCCTGCTCTGACGCCTGAGGCAGCGCCGGGAGCCATGTCGGGTTCCTATGACGAGTCAGCATCAGCCGCCGAGGAAACAACCGACAGCTTCTGGGAGGTGAGTCCTGGCCATCCTGTCCTCCCACAGACACCACTGCCACAGTCACTGCACCCCGGGCTGTCCCCTGGGCTGGGGGCTGCCCTCCCTTCTCTGTCTGAGAGCATCCCTACTGTGGTGGCTCCGTTTCTGAGCTGGCTCTGCCGAAGGTCTCAATCTTGGCCATCCCTGAGTGACAGAGGGGTTGGAGGGAGTTTGGCTTGAGCAGCCCCAAGCCAAAGCTCCATCCCTGCACCCCCAAATTGCCTGGTGCTTCCCCTGTAGCCACCCAGGCCAGCTGGGGCTGAGCCAGGCAGGATGGTCAGTGCCCACAGCTGCCTGTCCCCACACCCCTCTCAGGTGGGGAACTACAAGCGCACAGTGAAGCGGATCGATGATGGACACCGGCTCTGCAATGACCTCATGAACTGCGTGCACGAGCGGGCCAAGATCGAGAAGTCCTACGCCCAGCAGCTCACTGACTGGTCCAAGCGGTGGAGGCAGCTCATCGAGAAAGGTACTGTGGCTTCCCCAGGGGCAGGGTTTCCCTGGGACACCTGGGTCCCCGTGTATCATCACAGCTTCATCTGGCAGAAATGAAGGGGATAAGGGCAGTGGAGTGACCCCCAACTGTCCCCTCGGCCCCCAGGTCCCCAGTATGGCAGTCTGGAGAAGGCATGGGCCGCGATCATGACGGAGGCGGACAAGGTGAGCGAGCTGCACCAGGAGGTGAAGAATAGCCTCCTGAATGATGACTTTGAGAAGGTCAAGAACTGGCAGAAGGACGCCTACCACAAGCAGATCATGGGGGGCTTCAAGGAGGCCAAGGAGGCTGAGGATGGCTTCCGGAAAGCCCAGAAGCCCTGGGCCAAGAAGCTCAAGGAGGTGAGAGCAGCACAGTGTCCTGGGGCATCCTTGTGTCCCCAGTTCCAGCTCTGTGTGCCCAGTCCAGGCTGGGAGAGATGTGTGGCATCTCCCCACAGGCAGAGGGGTTGACAGGGGGCTGTGACCACTACTCTGATGTCCCTTCCCTGTCCCCACAGCTGGAGACAGCCAAGAAAGCCTATCACCTGGCATGCAAGGAGGAGAAGCTGGCCATGACCCGTGAAGCCAACAGCAAGGCGGATCAGTCCAACACTCCTGAGCAGCAGAAGAAGCTCCAGGACAAAGTGGAAAAGTGCAAGCAAGATGTGCAAAAGGTGCAAGACACTGCCCTGTGCCAGATGCATGGGGAATTGGGCAAGGGAAACCAGTGGAGATGGTCAACATGTCCCGTTCTCTACCATTGGTTCCCATTTTCCCATCCCTGTGCTCCTGGAGAAGGATAAAGACATGCAGGCAGTGCTCAGGGGAGTGTAAGCTGGGCAGGGATTTACCCCACTTATGGTGCCTGATTCCACGCACTGAGGCTTCTGGCTCAATTTGGGCTCCCCAGCTTTGGAGACCCCCAAACCAGACAGCACCCAGAAATGGCCTTTGAGACGCTTGAGGTACAACGAGGGTCCCTCTTGCATTTTTTGCAGACTCAGGAGAAGTACGAGAAGGTGCTGGATGAGCTGAACAAGTGCACCCCGCAGTACATCGAGAGCATGGAGCAGGTCTTCGAGCAGTGCCAGCAGTTTGAGGAAAAGAGGCTCAACTTCCTCAAGGAAATGCTCCTGGACATCAAGAGGCACCTGAACCTGGCCGAGAGCAGCAGGTAGGGGCAGTGAATCCCAGCCAACACGATGGTCACCAAGAGGTACCAGAGTGGCAGGAGGTTGTGCAGGAGGCTGGTGCCCACTGGTGACTTGGAGGACACGCAGCCTGGGCCCCAGGTGACGGCTGGGGTATGTCCCTGTGCCATACTGTCCCTGGGGGTCCACCCTGACCCACAGCCCCTCAATCTCTCCCCACAGCTACGCCAACGTGTACCGGGAGCTGGAGCAGACCATCCGCATGTCGGACGCACAGGAGGACCTCCGGTGGTTCCGCAGCACCAGTGGCCCCGGGATGCCCATGAACTGGCCCCAGTTTGAGGTGAGGCCGGGGGCCCTGGCTGGGTGCTGGCAGCCCTGCAGGGCAGCCGGGCACTCAGGGGTTGGTTGCTCTGTGCTTGCAGGAGTGGAACCCAGACCTGACGCACACGATAACGCGGAAGGAGAAGCAGAAGAAGGGCGAGGGGGTGGCCCTGACCAATGCCAGCAGCGTGGGTGACACGGGGGCTCAAGCAGGCGAGCGCGGGAGGTGAGGGCTGGCATGAAGGAGAGGTGCCATGACAGGCACGGCCTTTGTCTGTGCAAGCATTTGGGGATGGGGATGTCCAGGGTGACAGCCACCCCTCCCTCTCCTCCCCTTCCAGCGTGAGCAGCCATGACCGTGGGCAGACCTACAGCGCTGAGTGGTCCGATGACGAGGGCAGCAACTCCTTCAACACCAGCGAGGCCAATGGCGGCGCCAACCCCTTTGACGAGGAGTCGGGGGGAAAGGGCGTGAGGGTGCGGGCTCTGTACGACTACGATGGGCAGGAGCAGGATGAGCTCAGCTTCAAAGCAGGTATGGTCCCTCGCCAGTGCCAGATAGGATGAGGCTCGTCTGCTGGAGCTGTGGGTGTGAAATCCCTCAAATAATTTCTGAGTTGGCCCAGCCTTTCAAAAAGTTGAACTGTCAGAAAAGGGAAGGCAGAAGCTGAGCCCAGATGCAGAAGGGGCAGGAGCAGTGGTGGGACAGGGCATATGAGGGCTCAAGGGTCACCCCTCGCCTTTCTGTCCTACAAACTGGTGTGCCCAGGATGAGTCCTGCAAACCCCCTGCATCTCCATCCCAGGGAGAAAAAGTGGGTGGGAGAATTTCCAGCACCTGCAATGAGCTCTTCCCTTCCACCTTCCTCTCCAGGTGATGAACTAACCAAACTCGGTGAGGAAGACGAGCAGGGGTGGTGCAAAGGGCGCTTGGACAACGGGCAGCTGGGGCTGTACCCTGCCAACTACGTGGAGGCAATCTAAGTCTTGTGATGTGCTCCTCGTCACCGTCAGCAGATAAATCCACCCTCCGTTGTCTCCATCTCTCCACCAGCCAACCAGCCATTCTGCCGTCTGGTCCTTCACCCCTCACCCTTAGAGATTCAGACATATTTTCCGACCAAGCTTTTATTTTTTTAAGAGTTGTCTCCGAAGAGTATTTTGCATAGTCGCTTTCTTCTAAGATAACGTGAAGCGAAAGATGACGTTGTCCGTTCGTCTACGTTAGTTGAATTTATTTTTTTTTCTGAGCGAAAAGCTGATACCTCAAGATCTTAAAGCCCAACCAGTGAGAGCTCCTGATTGGTTGGTTTTTAAAGATACTGAAATCATGAGCCGCCTTCTGATTGGCTGGAACTGTTCTGAAACACACGGTGCCGAAGTTCCTGGGACCAACCAAATTCATCCCAGAAAACCGAGAGGGATTCGAGTCTGACTCCGTTGGGTTTTTTTTGGGTGTTTCCACGTTCTCCCCAGCTATTCCTCCCGCCCCGAGGAAGGGGGTGAATGCCCCCTTCAGCCCCGCGGCCATCCTTGAGATGCCCAGGTAAGGTGGGACCAGCCCCGCCATGGAGCTTGCTGGCATCACCTCAGCTTCCTCCTCCTCCCGGCTGGGCTGTCAGCACACCTGGAGCAGGCAGAGGCTCCCGAGCCGATGCCCAGTCTGTGCTGCAGGGAGCAGCATCGCCCTTCGGGTGGGCAGGTATCCAACGCACACCAGATCCAGGTGAGATGGCCCTAAAATCCTCCAGAGAAGGACCCACCAGGGCCCAGCGCTGTGGAAGCACCTTCACGCCCAGCCTGGGATAGCGAGGACTGCCTTGGGCACTGCTGGGGATGGTCCCCATCCACCCCTTCCTGAAGAGAGGCAGGAGCAGAGCAGGGACGGGGGATGAGCATCACCTGGCCTTGCAGGCTGCCGGCAGGAGATGCAGCCAGAGCAGGAGGGCTCAGGATACCCAGCCCAGGCAGAGCAGCTGCCTGGCAAAGATGGCCGAAAACAAGACACATCAAGGCAGGGGAATGGCCGCAGGCTTTGCCCTTTGCTTGTCCCCACGGAGTTCTCCCCTTCCTCCCCCGGGCTCTGCCCCTGGTCCTGCAGCTCCCGCGGCTGCTGCCACCCAGCACGGCCACCCCCACCCCCTGCCTCGGGTGCATTTGCCATCCCGAGCTCTTCCCTACAGATCATCTCTCATTCCTTTCCATACCATTACCCTTAGCAGCATCAATGCCATCGGCTTCCCGCACGCTCCTCCTGCTCCTATCCTGCCCCCTCCGTTGGTTTGTGAATTTTTTGGCCCCAGGGATCCGGTGTTCTTGTGGAAGCAGGGGAAGCACTGTGTGCTGGGCACGGTGGGTGGGAGCCATCCCGGCCCCTGCCAGGTACCGGAAGAAAAACCACAAAGTCAGAAAAGACCCAACCAACCACCTGTCTCAGCAATGCACCCCGGTTTTTGTACATTGATTGTGTAATTTAAGAAGTATATATATATAATATCTATATCTCTCGTGATTGTATTTCCGTGGATACAACAACAAAAAGCAGCAAGAGAAAATAACCGAGCTCTGTCAGCATCCTTGGCTCTGGGGTCTCCTTTGCTGTGCGTCTGTCTCACCCCCGGGGGGCGGCTGAGGTTGTGGACCCTCACCCCAAGGTTTTGGGGTGCAGCAGGATGGGGGGTTCACATGCATTGCCGGGGGCGAGGGGGGACAAGGGGAACAACCACTGCCTTTGGGGACTCCTGTGCCACTGCCAGACAAAGCCTTGGGAAAGCCATGGAGGGGCTCGAGGTGATGCAGGTTTTGGGGCTGCTCCAAGCACCAGCCCTGACCCAGCGCTCTCCTGAGCCTGTGAAAGCCCCGGCACAGCAGGTTGATGTCACCTCCTGCCCTCCCCCACCCTGCCAGAGGACCTGTGTGGGGGACACGAGATTTGGGGCACCACTGGCCCACCCAGCCCATCCTCACAGTGCCCCCACACCGGCTGCGTTGGGGGCACACAGCAAATCACAAGATACACTTGGCTTTTTTTTTTCCTCTTTCCCCCCATTTTTTTGTTTTTTTCATCCCCTTTTCCAAAGGCCAAGGTAGTTTTCCTCCTTCCCCTGCTCCTCGCCACCCTCCATCTCTCCTGCCAGCATGTGAGCAGGGCTGTCTACATCCGCTGCTGTGGGAGCAGCACAGAGCAAGAACAGAAGGGAAAGGCAGTAGCTGGCACCAGCAGATTTTTTAAGGGGAAAAATCAAAAGACAAAGAACCAGGTGTTTTTCCTTTTACGCTGCCACAGAACATCTCTGGAAGTCCAGGCCACGCCTCGGCATTTGCACAACTCATCACCAGCCGAAAATGAGAAGCAAATAAACAAATAAAAAACCCTATAATATAAAAGATCAACATTGCCAGGTAACTCTGACTCTGGTGCAATAAGCAGGTGAAGCAATTCCCAGCTCTCTGCCCCAGTTCAGCCTTGGTGGATCACACTCTGGTCTTATTGTCCAGAGGGAAATGGCAAAGCTGCTATCTCCATTTCCCCAAACTCTGGAATTGGGCAGTCCAAGTAAAATCCGAATCAAGGGACGAGCTTTGTGCCAGGGCACAGAACCTGGGCTCTTAGGAGGATGCTGGTGGCCCCGTGCACAAGGATGGGGGACCCACACTGTGCACAGCCCCACACCCACATTTACAGCTGCTCCCCTTGCAGAACTCCCGTTTGCAGTCCCAAATCCCAGTGAAGGGGAGAAGCTGAGCATGTGCTGGAGTGAAAAGCAAAGGGGGGGATGCACCTGTCTCAAGGGGGTGCCCAAGGTCCCCGGAGACACAGCTCCCATTGCTGGCAGCACCCTTGGTTGGTGCCAGGCTGCTCCCACAGGGATTGAGACAGGACCCCACCATGAGCAGCAGTGGATGTCCCTGTCGGTGCCATTGTCTCAGCTCATGCCCCAGGCTTTTTCCTCCCTGAACAACGGCTGAGGTGAAGCCACCTACAGCCAGAACGCGGGAGGGAGGAGAGGAGGGGGGACAGTCCAGCCACAGTGCTCACCCTTCCCATGGCAGACAAGGGCTCTGCACGGTCCTTGCCCCGCACCAGGGCCTGCTGGAGGTGAGGGGGTCCCTGCGTCCGTTTCCAGCAGGTCCTGGCAGGGGAAGCCCCGCACCTCAGCCGAGGTCCTTGCTGCTGGCAGAGGGAGGCAGTGAAGGTCCCCCGTCCCTCCCGGCGCTCAGCCGGTCCCGCCGCCGCTCAGACCGGGTGGACGAACTGGTAGACGAGGCGCTGGGAGATGTCGGGCTTCCGGATGATTCCTTTCTTGTAGTACTGCCGGATTGAGCGGCTCAGCTTGTCGTAGTTCATGGCCGGGCGGTTCTTGCGGATGCCCCACAGCCGGGCCACCTGCGCCGAATCCTCGATCTTGAAGATGCCTGGCAGAGGAGCGGGGCACGGAGGGTTACAGCATCTCCTGCCCCACTTCAGCCCCGCAGCGCCCGCCTCGGGACCTCTGGGGCATCCCCGCCCACCTTTGTCCTTGTTGAGCCAGCGGATGAAGCGCCCGTAGTTGTGCGGTTTCAGCAGCAGCTCCTTGAGGAACTGCCAGAGGTGGATGGGTTGGCCGGAGCAGGACGAGTCCGCCTCGCTGTCGGCCCAGCTGGTGTCACCTCCTGCCACGGGAAGGGACGGGTGAGAGGAGGGAAGGGACAGAGCTCGCTGCTGTGCACCATCCCAGGAGCTGCACGAATCAAGGAAGCCCCACTCGATGCCAGAGGGGCTCAGCCCAGGCACTGGGTCTGGAAGCTTTGCTTTCTCCTCCCTGTCTTGAAGCAGCTCGGTCCTGCCTTTGCTCAGGGGGTGTGGGACAGGGCCACTGAGGGGTTGGAGCCATTTCCCCCTCGCTGCATTTTGCAGAGAGCCGTGGGGCTGCTCTAGGGCAGAAGGAGTGTAACCGCACAGATCCCACAGCAGCAGCTGCTCCAGTGCTCCGGATAATTGCAATTAAGCAGGGAGGGACCCCTCAAGGAGCCCGGGCCCACCCGAAACAGGAGTGGGGCTAGTGGAGCTGAGCCCACACAGAACTCACCGCAGTATCTCACGTCTCCAGGGGCAGCCTTCTCCTTCATCCAGGCGGCTGGAAGGGAGGAGCAGGGGATCAGGGGGCCATCTCCTGCTACACAGCATCGCCCACCCTCCCCAGCTCCCTCCCGCTCCCTGGCACCCACCAGACTTCCAGATGTCGAGGTGGGCGTGCAAGATGTCGCCGCAGGCGGGCGAGCGCTGGCAGAACTGCTCCTCGGACATGGCACACAGGTCCTTTCCCGACAGCTCCTGGAAGGACTTCCCGATCTGCGGCAGCCGGTATTGGTGCTCCGTCCACAAGATCCACTTCTGCACATTCCCGGGGCTCCAGTCCGTGGGGTCTGGGGGTGAAGGGAGTGAGTGTGGCCAGCCGGGAACCGGCCCCTTCTCCCGCGGGAGAACAGCCGCACTCCCCCAGATCCCCACACGCGGCTGCAGCCCCTCAAATGCAGCATGGCTCTGGCTCCCACGCCAGCGCATCCCTCCCCTCCCTGGCCGCACCACGAGAGCGCCGGGAGAACCCACCTGAGGCTATGTTGAGGAGCTTGCAGGCTGTCTCGATGTCCTTCAGCACCTCGCCCACCACCATGCTCTGCACCTGCTCCAGCGAGTGCTCCTCCAGGTGCAGGCTGTCCTGCAGGTCCCCCTCGGGCCCCAGCCCCAGGCCCTGGCTGTCGATGATGGGACATTGCTCCGGCTCCTTCCGCGCCTCCTCCCGCCCGCCCTGGGCGCTGCCGTGGGACGGTTCCCCGGCGCCCTTGGTGGCACAAGCCGTGTCCTCCGGGTAGAGCATGTCGAAGTAGTGCAGGCAGAAGGCCGTCACGGGCTGCTCGGGGGTGCTGGGGGGGCTGGGGCTCTCCGGGCAGCCCCAGCTCCGGGGGTCGAGGTCCCGCGGGGGTGGCAGCAGCGTGGGCTCCGGCCAGGCGAGGCGGCCGGGGGGCAGAGCGGTCAGCCCGGGGCTGGCGCTGCCCATCCCTCCGCTCAGCGCTGGCTCCAAACCTGCCCGGGGAGGAGAGAGGAGCAGAGCTCAGCCCGGCACCGCTCCTGCCTTCCCGCCCAGCAGCCAGGCACAAAGGGAGGAACTAAGCCTGTTAGAGGGGAAAAACCCTCTGAAGAGCCCCACTGTGCCCGGAGCTTGTGGATGAGTGCGGGGTCAGCCATGGCTTGGGGGGCTGCCCCCGGTTTGGGAGGGCCAAGAGCAGCAGCAGCCAGCAGGGAAAAGGAGCTCAGGAGATGAGCAGTAGCTGGTCCCTGTTTAGGATCTGGGTGTTCAGGGTCTCCCCAGAGGCTGCACCCCAGGCTGGCAGCAGCTCAATCCCAGGTGGAGCTGAGGCCTCGGTGGGAGGCAGTGGGGGGCACTGGGGGGCTCCCCAGCACCTGTGCAGGACAGCCCTGGGGTGATGATGGATGCTTGAGCCACAGGGACGCATTTCTGAGGGCGGAAAACATCCTCTGCTGCTTCCACCTGAGGCACAACAGCCCCCAGACCCAAATGTCCCGGGAGGGACTGAGCCCAGCACCGCAGCACCCAGCCCTTGGTTGCTGTTGCCAACTCCCAGATGAGAACTTTCCTTTTAA